AAGGCCTATCTGCACTCTCAGTGACAGTGGAAACAGAAACAATGAGTGTGAGCAATAAAAAAAAAGGCCACCCGCTGTGTTGCCTCGCTTTAGAGGCACCAAAAATGGCTGCCGCAATGGAGGATCTTTGCATAAGGTTAGTTTTAAAGCCCATAGGAACGCATTAAACAAGTTTTAATGCATTTCTATGGGCTTTTAAAAATCGCTTAGCGATTAAATCGCTTAGCAACGTTTTTTCCGGAACGGATTAACATCGCTAAGCGAGGCACCACTGTACATCCTTACTGCTTTCATAGGAATTAAGAGGCTAAGCAGCAGCCAGGTGCTACTAACCAAATACCCTTGAGTAATTGCTCATCAACAAGTAGGCCCACCTCTATAAAAGCTGAAGTTTTAGCAGTTTGCTGGTCTGGAACATTCAGGTGTGTGTCAATACAATGCTAAGGAGGAAACATATCAGCAATGATCATAGAGAAGCAATTGTTGTTCCCCATCAATCTGGGAATAGTTATAAGGCCACTTCCAAACAATGTAAAGTTCATCATTCTACAGTGAGAAAGATTATTCAACATGTGGAAAATTCATGACAGTTGCCAATCTTCCCAGCAGTGGACATCCAAGCAAATTCACCCAAGGTTAGACTGTGCACTGCTCAGAGAAACTGCAGAAAACCCAAGAATTACATCTCAGGCTCTACAGGCCTCAGTTAGCATGCTAAATGTTGAAGTACATGACAATACTAGGAGAAAAAAGGAGAAAAAAAATCTTCTCTCTAAAAAGAACATGGCAGCATGGCTTCTGTTTGCAAAGTTGCATCTGGACAAATCACAAGGCTTCTGGAACAATGTTCTCTGGATAGACTAAAACAAAGTGGAAATTTTTTGGCAAAAACCAAACACAGCATATCAGTACAAACACCTCATACCAACTGTCAAGCACAGTGGTGGAGGGGTGATAATTTGGACTTGTTTTGCAGCCACAGGATCTGGGCACCTTGCAGTCATTAAGTCATCCATGAACTCCTGTGTATACCAAAGTATTCTAGGGTGAAATGTGGGGCCATCTGTCCAACAGCTAATGCTTGGCCAAAATGGAGTCATGCAACAGGACAATGATCCCAAGTGCTCCAGCAAATGTACTACAGAATAGCTGTTGCAATGGCCTAGTCAAAGTCCAGATCTCAACCTGATTGAAATGTTGTGGTGAAACCTTCAGGAATCTGTACATAAACAAATGCCCACTAACCTAAACAAACTGAAGCAATGTTGCAAAGAAGAGAGGGCAAAAATCCCTTCACATTGATGTGAGAAACTGATAATGTTATACAGAAAACGATTACTTCAAGTTATTGCTGCTAAAGGTGGTTCTACAAACTACTGAATCATAAGGTGTACTTAGTTTTTCACACACGGCTCCCCTCTTTTGCCTTTATTTTTGTAAAATAAATAAAGACATAGTGTAATATGTCATGTATTGCTGTTCATCTGAGGTTGTATTTATCTAATAATTTTCAGACCTGCTAAGGACCAGATTATTTTTATGATGTCCTGATACATAAATCCATAGAATTCAAAGAGGCTATACTTTCTTTTTCACATGACTGTATGTGAAGGTAAGACTCTGCGCAATTTAGTGTTTCGAAGGTAAAATTGACAGGGGCCTGCTAGGTGTTTTCTTCACTTTCACCAGTAGGCAGGCCATAGCATTCTATACCTGGGCCTTCAAAATAATTTTCTAAGATTTTCTCATGTAAATGTATTGGATGATTGTCCCTTATTTATTATTAATAAAGAAGGCAGGGTGTGACCAGTTCATCAGCCAAAAGTGATAAAAAGCAATTGCAAGCAGTTTCACTTAGTCTTAAAAATTATTTCATTCTAAATGTGGACCTATCAAAACAGGAAATTCCACACACTCCTTAATGATTGAATCTTCCAGTTACCATCATTTCCTTCATGTTTGAAATGCATGCCTGTCTCCTTTGCTAACCACGCATACGTAACATTGGGGACACAACAGAGTTTTATGGAAATCACATGGATTAAATAACATAGGGTAGCAGTAACTGTGCAATATTATTCTCAGCCTTATTAAGACAGCTAGTAATAGAGCTACAGTAGTACCTCGGTTTAGGAATTTAATGCGTTCTATGGGATGTTACGTAATGCAAAAAATTTGTAAACCAAAATGTGGTTTGCCATAGGAACACAGGCAGCACTATAAACTTCCAAGCACAATGCATCCTGAGGAAACTTAATGCTGCAGAAAAAAAACGTAAGCTGAGGCATTATTTTCACTCAATCCTTCCTGTAAGAGCCCAGCAGCCACAGAAATCAGAGTTTCTTTTATCTTTTAGATCTGATACTATAAACCTGAGTTTGGAGAAGTTTTTGAATTATAAGTGCCAGAGTCCTTCCCCCTTGCTTATAGTTATTTAGGTCTCCTGAACCTAAAGATAATTTTGTTGCACGGCTTCTTGACAAACTTCAGCAGCACCCTTTCTGCTAATGCTATTGATTGTGGACTACCGGCTGACCAGCCTTAGGCTCCACGTTGGTCGGGATCACCACAATAAGTCCTTCCGTTAACCTCCCAAACTTTCTTTTTTGGTAAATTGGCTGTGTGAGAACTGCCTGTTCAAGGACTACAATGGTAGTACTAAGGCCTATCTGCACTCTCAGTGACAGTGGAAACAGAAACAATGAGTGTGAGCAATCAGACATGACAAATGACTGCTGCTACTTCCATCTAGCACAGCCTACTGCAGATTCCTTTCACATCATCATGTAGACCTGATGCAGTGACTCCCAAGTGTCCATTACAGCTGAAGGAATACAACTCTAGAGCAGCACTACTCTATGTACCTTTTGCAAAGAAAAAGTGGCTCTAATTGCCAAATGCCCTCAAACAGCGTAACTGAAGGAATGCACACTCCTTGTGTGTCATCCCATCCCACTTAGGGCCACTGGGAAAGCTCAAAGATACATTTGAAGAACATGCTAAGAGGAAAAAGACGTTCTCCCTATCCATCAGCAACACAGGGAGAACTGTAAATCATAGAATCTATGAAAAGAGGTTGTATTTCTCCCTTCCCATCAGAAAGACTGCGTTATTTGACTGAGCTTAAGGGGAAGCAAATTATTCTTGCTCAAACTCCTGAGCATGGGGGCCTGGGGGGTGTTTGCATTGTACTGTATCACTGCAAAATGCTGTAAAAGCTGTTCTTAGAATCATCTGAGTCAAAAATAACATACAAGTTTTGAGTATAAACAAATAAGGTGAGATGGATGCTACCGTAATAGTGCCTACATTGCATGGAACACGAGAAAAATTATATACAATTCTTTTGCCTTGGGTACCTCACCAAATAACCCAAAACCTTATATTAAGAGATTTCTCTCAGTTCAGTCCCATTTACACTTACAAATTCTACTGTTTCCTGTTAAGAGAAACCAATTAGCTTCAAAATACTTCAGGGACTGCCTTGCTTTTTTCAGTTCAGATGAGCATGGGGGCCTGGGGGGTGTTTGCATTGTACTGTATCACTGCAAAATGCTGTAAAAGCTGTTCTTAGAATCATCTGAGTCAAAAATAACATACAAGTTTTGAGTATAAACAAATAAGGTGAGATGGATGCTACCGTAATAGTGCCTACATTGCATGGAACACGAGAAAAATTATATACAATTCTTTTGCCTTGGGTACCTCACCAAATAACCCAAAACCTTATATTAAGAGATTTCTCTCAGTTCAGTCCCATTTACACTTACAAATTCTACTGTTTCCTGTTAAGAGAAACCAATTAGCTTCAAAATACTTCAGGGACTGCCTTGCTTTTTTCAGAGCAGGATATACAGGCTCGGTGGGTCTCCCTCACTGAGGCCCACTGCAGACAGCACACCATCGTCCCCAAAAGGCAGATGGGAGTGGTTAAAGTCCACTTCCAAATTTGTGAAAGCGTAACAAGGTATGGTAGTGGGGGTGCATTTTGTTTTAAAGGAGATCTACGTTTCTGGACTTTTCTTATGTCTCCAATTAATTTTTAGTGGAATAAAATTATGTACAAAAATCAGGTG